TTTTTTTTTTGAAGACCATAGTCAAGCCTTTTGCTCAATTTTTTTTATCACTTTCTTCTTAATTTATATAATTTCTTTATAATTATCTGAATATAAATCCTTTTTCAGTTATTTGCTCTTTAATATCTTCCAACACTCTATGGCTAACGTTTTCTTGCTGTTAATGTTATCATTAGATTAACCAAAGCTCTAAATTTTACTAAAGTTCAATTTATGCTTCTTTTCCTTTATGAGTTGGTGCTTTTTGTGTACCGTGAAAAGAAATCTTTGCCTACCACAAAGATATGCTTTCCTATGCCATCTTCTAGAAAGGTTATTGTTTTACGTTGCATATTTAGGTCTACCATCCATCTGGAATTTTTGCACACTGTGTGAGGTAGAAATCAAGACATGTTTTCCTATGGATATTCAATACATCTAGAACCACCCTTANGTGAGGTAGAAATCAAGACATGTTTTCCTATGGATATTCAATACATCTAGAACCACCCTTACTCAAACTAAAAACTCCCCTCCCCACCCCGTGCTACCCTGTGTCACCTTTGTCATAAGTTAACTCGCAATATATATGTGAAGGTATTGTTGATTCTATATTTTGTTATATTAGTTTGTATATTTTTGCACCAATGATATACTCTTAATTACTGTACATTTTTAATGAGTCTTGAAATCTGATAGAGTGAAGTCCTAAATCTCTTCCAGATTGTATTGGCTACTCTTGCTCCTCTGAATTTCATCCTAATTTTGGAATCAGCTTATAAATTTCCATATGTAAAAATGAAACTGATACAATTTTGGTTGGGATTTTATTGGCTCAATAAGTCAATTTGGGGAGAGTTTTCTTTTTAAAATATTGAGTCTTTTAATACATTCCTTCAGTTATTTAGGTCTTCTTTAATTTCTGTTTTTAACATTTTATAGTTTTCTGAGAAAGGGGAGTTGCAGTTTATCAAATGCTTTTTCTGCATCCATTGAAATGACCATACCATTTTTTCCTTTGTTCTGTTAATGTCTCGTCTTTCGTTAATAAACTTTTAAATGTTAAACCAACCTTAGATATCTGGGGAAAAAATCAAACAAGCAACGAATTGAAGGTGGTGTAACATTCTTTTAAAATAGTGTAGGCCGGGC